ACCAGGTGCAGGGCAGAAGCCTGTGTCCTTACCTGAGAGGGCTACTTCCACACCAGTTTCTTCCTCCGCCCTGCCACAGCCAGGCTCAAAGATGGTTTCCTGAAGTAGACCAACCCACAGGAAATTCTTTCTGCAGGTGAACACTGGCCACCCAAATGCTGCAAGGGAGGCAGGGCCCAGGGGCTGGGTTTGTATCTTGTTCCTGCATGCATTCACTCTAGAAACACAGGCTGGGCCCTGGCTCCAGGGATGACCCCAGCGGACTGGCTTCCTGTAGCTGACAGGAGGGGGCTCCCAAGCACTGTGGAAGTCAGGGGGTCATATCCGAGGGCAGGGAGGCCTCTGAGGAAGGGCCACCCCCCGAAGATGAAGAGGAACTGGCCACCAAGAGTGGACCTTCCTGGGTAGAGGTGGACAGAGGGTCCTAAACCACAGAAGCTGGTTGTGGGAATGTGGGGCAGACCAGCAAGAGGCAGGGCAGGGGTGGGGGAAAGAGGAGGCTGTGGTGGATAATCTTGGGAACTAGTGTTAGGGCTTTGGACAGAACCTTCAGGATAGCAGGGAGCTATGCAGAGTTCAAGCAGGGAATAGACAGATGGGATCCTCAGGATAAGAGGTCCTGGCTGCAGAGAGTAGAAAAGCTCCAAGTATTTGGCTCTGGGTGCAGGAGCTAGGGAGGCCCCCAGTGGGTCCACTGGGTCTGGATGGTTCTGGTCACATGCTGAGGCCATATGGAAGCTTAGTCCTGGGGGCTAAGTTAAGCTTTTCTCCTTACCTGAATGCCTCCTAATTTCTAATCAATTTGTTTCAGTAACAAAGGAGTTTATTAATCAATTAACCGATTGGTTCACCAACCTCAGCATGAGTGAATAATACTAATAAACACTTCAATTACTTTTTCAAATTCAGGGGTAAGCTCTGGACTTCAACATATACTTCCATGCAACTGTTTAAAATGTATGCTTACGTTTGGGGCTGGAGGGGTGGCTCAGTGGTTAAGAACACTGGTTGCTTTTGCAGAGGACCTGGGTTCAGTTCCCAGCACCCACATGGTGACCAAAAACAGTCCTTAATTACAGTTCCAGGGGATCCATTGTCCTCTTTTGGCCTCTCCAGGCATCGTATGCATGTGCTGCACTTACATACATTGAGTCAAAACACTCATATACATAAAGTAAAAATTTTAAATATGCTTATGTAAAAAGTATAAAGAAAATTAAAAAAAAAACACTCAGAAATCCTCTTAGAGACAGCACTGTGAACATTTCGAATCTCTCCAAAACATAAAACAATATTTATGAGGGGCTGGAGAGATGGTTCAGTGGTTAAGAGCACTGGCTGCTCTTGCAGAGGACCTGGATTCAGCTCCCAGCACCCACATGGCAGCTAATAACCCATAAATCCAGCTTTAGGGGCTCTGACACCCTCTTCTCACTTCTGTGGACATTGTATGACTTGGGTGCACTTATATCCATGCAGCCAATATACTCAGACACATAAAATATTTATAGAGATCAGTCTTCAATGTAGTTTGTGTTGCCATTTTTTTTGGGGGGGGGTCTTTTTGAGACAAGGTCTCCCTGTAGCCCCAGCTGTCCTGGAATTCACTATGTGGACCAGGCTGGCCTTGAACTCACAGAGATCCACCTGCCTCTGCCTCCCGAGTGCTGGGATTAAAGGCGTGTGCCACCATGCCTGCCTTGTATTGTCATTTTTATTAGTATTATTTCCTTAAGTGACAAACACATTTTGAGACAGGGTCTCTTGTAGCCCAGATTAACTTGAAGCTTGCTCTATAGTTGAAGATGACCTTGAACTTCTGGACCTCTTACATCTACCATGGGAGTGTTGTGATTACAGGCATGTGCCACCACACCTGGGGTTCAAACCCAGGCCCTCCTGCAGTAAGCTCTGTCATACCCCACCCCCAGTCCCCAGTCTGAAGTGACTAAACATTCTTCCCTTCATAGGTATACTGCAATCTAGTTAATCCTCCCTCTCTGGTTGGCCTGGAAGCTTCTTTCCCAGGTTTTGTTGTAAGTAGCAGTGATGGGCGTCTCAGAGATCTCCCAGATCCTGAGCTGCAGATTCACTCTGGTGTCCCGTATACTCTTGCCAGGATCTACAGTGATGTGTGACCTGGATTTGTGGTCAGAGGGACGAGCTCAGGGCCTTCTCACACACTTGTGTGGCTCTTCCGTCTTTTCGTACCACTGTTTACAGCAGTGTCTAAACCCTAGCCACACTGAGTGATCACACTTGAAACTTTGCGTGCTGGCGGGTCAGGGAGATGTTAGTGAGTAAAAGCACTTGCCACACAAGTCTGACATTCTGAATTTGGATCCCAGGAACCCACGTGAAGAGCCGGATGCACTGGCATGCATCTACAGCCCCAGCGCTCCGCCTGTGAGAGTTGGCAGGGACAGCTTGTCATGAAGAAGCGGCAAGAGACCCTGTCTCAGCGAGGTGGGTGGTGGGAGCCAACCCCTTAAATATGCCTTCTGGCCTCCAGCACACCTGTACTTACACACATATACACAGACACAACATAGGGGCTAGGATGTAGTTCAGTGGTAGATCATCTGTCTAGGATGTATAAGACCCTGGGTTTGATCCCTAGCGCACATGAAGATGTGTGTGTTGGGGGGGGGTTGGAAGAGGAGGAGAGGCAGAGGAAACTTGGCTGCAGGACCGCGGCATCTAAACACTCCAGTTTTCATTACTGATCTGAGAGGGCCTCTCAGATCACGGTCACCTGCACCTTGGGACGTGAAGGTGGTTTGGAGCCCACCCTGGGGCTCTGGAAGAACTGAGACCTGGGAGGGAGACTGACCCTGAGGTTGATGTAAAGCTCTGGAAGGAGGGTGCAGGCAAAGCCACGGGGGGCAGACGGGTCAGACGGAGCTGATGCCTACCCATAAGGCTTCTCGGGGAGTGTTGTGTGCTGACCAGAGGGGTGTCTATGCTGGGAAACCACAGCAAACAAACAGCAGGGACCGTGGCACCGTTCACTCCAGTTCCCAACACTCTAGTCTCAACAGAGCCCACCAACCAGCCTCCGGCATGGTCATGAATGACCAGGCCACCTGGCCAGTGGTGTGAGCACAGCCTCTTCCCTCTTGCCCTGACTGAAATGCAGACCCTGGAGAACAGTACTCTAGGTGACAGGAGGAACAGTACTAGGTGGCTGGGGGACACCAGGCCCAGAGAGTACCTCAACTGTCCAGGCAGCCCTGGCTGGCCTACCCTAGCTTCTTAGTTTGTGAGGAAAAGTAACTGTGTTTAAAAAAATAATTTTACTGAGAATCCCATACAAGCATATAAGGCGTTTTGATCAAATCCATGCCCACCGCCTCCCCTCCATCTCCTCCTATGTCTCCCCATCACTTTTTCCTGCTAACTTCATGTACTCTTTCTTCTTCTTTTTTTCAATGGGGCTTTTTGCTACTCTAACATTGCCCCCTCTGAAGAGGTAACCCTAAAATCTTTTAAGGATTAAAGCTCTCTTTGGACTGGAGTATGCTGCTAAGAGGCCCAAGGACATTTTGACTTCTAGCCAAAAGACTGGCTACTTTTCTTTGGGGTCTTTTTACCCTAACTGCCTAGCCAATTCCTACTTCCTATTCCTATCACGCCATCCTCTGAAGAGGTTACCCAACTTGCAGAGAGGGAATCTGGATGCAGACCACTCTGGCTTCTTCCATGTTGAACAGGGATGCAGGATGAGGCAATTGGAGTACCCCTTCAGTGGGTCTATCTAAAAGACTCCCAAATTGCATAACTCTTATCCCTAGGGGGAAAAGAAAGTCCTTGACTGGTGAAACGGAGATGTGAAGGAGAAGTAAAGGCAAGAGTAACTAGCATTACAAGTTCTAGACAGGGAACTAGAAAAAAGTCAGAACAGGACAATTTTCAAATGTTCGTATGAGAGTCCATTGAAATTTCTTGACAAGGGCTTCCAAAAGCATCCCTCTATTGGGTTCTTCCTCATTTTTCTTTTGTCTTCCAAGGCTGGACTAGTT